CCACCCCCGGCCCTGGCTCCTTCCCTCACCCTCCCGCTCAGGCTTCCCAGAGGTCCCACAGGGCAGCTCCCAGGGTCCCTGGGAAGACTGGCGCTCCTCAGAGAGAGGTGGTGACCTTGGCTGGAGGGCCGGGCTCTGGCCGGCTGCTTCCTCCTGCGCCTCTTCTCCCCACTTCCATCCCATCCCTTCCTCCCCAGAGAGATTTTGAGGGGGCACGTTCCATTGTAGTGCAAGGCCAAATCCTGAAGGGGGCCTATGTGAAAGGTGCTCTAGAACAGCGGTTCTCAAAGTGTGGTCCTTGGAGCAGCATCACCAGGAGCTTGTTAGAAACGCACATTTCTAGGTCTCACCCTAGATCTACTGAATCAGAAATTCTGGGGTGGCGCCCAGCCCTCCAGGTGAGTCTTAAGGTCACTTAAGTCTGAAAATCCGGAATGTAGGGGTCACACTAAATGGGACCGAGGACCAGGGAGACAAGCCCATCCAGGCTTCTCAAGCCCCTGTCCCGTTGGGCCCCTTCCTTCTTCCTGTGCATCCTTAGCCCCACCTCTACTGTCCCCGGCAACACACAAACATGCTCCAAGAGCTCCCATCTAAAAATGAAAAGAATATATTTTTGACCCCACAGTCCCCTTCGGCTGCATCTCCCAATTTCTCTGCTTCCCCTCAACCACCGAATTTATTGAACAAGTTGTTTCTATTTTCTCACCTCCATCCCCACCCTCCCTCACCTTAAAACAATTTAATAACATTACTATGGTGTGCTTCACATATAAAAATAAAAAAGCATAAATAATAATATAATGAAAACTGTGTACCATGCCCCTGGCCTGTCTCCCCAGTCCCGAGAGCCCCTTCACTTTGCCCCTCACCTTGTTGTGGCCTCTGTGACAAGGCAGGGCCAAGGGACACATCTGTGTTCTCATCTTATTCTCCAGCTCAGCGGCAGTCAACCCAGAGGGCCGCTCCCTTTCTCTGGAACCACTTTCCAGATGCACCTTCTCCTGGTTTTTATCTTCCCTCCGCCATCACCTCCTCTCTGATTCCTTGTTAACCAGGCTCCTCTACCTTGGGGGTTCTCACAGCCCCGTCCTGGGCCCTCATCTCTCTGTACAGTCTCTCCCTAGATCAAGGGTCCTTATGTGGGGACCACAGGGTCTGTGGTCCTTCGGTGACGAATAAAGTACATCTTTTCTTCACTAACCTGTAATTAAAATTTGGCATTTCCTTGAATTATGAGCACAGGCCACAAACTATAGCGCTATTAGCCGATCCTGTGACTTCATGATCAATGGAAATCAGACATAATTTCATATCACAACATTGGTGTTACAGAACCTTAAAATATTTTTGCTCATTATGACTTCGGAAGTATGAACATGCTTAAACCAACCACTGGATAATGCTACAGCTAGAGCACAGATTTAATTGTAATACTTTGATTACAATTGCAATGTCGCTGGGTGTTCTTATGCTTTTATTTTTTTGCATTTAAAAGTGTTCATCTGAAAAGGGAACCATCAGCTTCCAGGATCAGATGCCAGCGTTCCAGGCTCCAAATTCATCCGGTCCCTGCCACAGGTGTTCCAGTCGGTCGTAGGACTTTCACACCCCTCTCCATGCTGATGGTGCTGTCTCTGTCTCCCACCCAGACTTCTCCCCTGAATGTCCCATCCACTTGTCAGCCTCTCAAGCAAAAGCATCCAACATGGAACACTTGACTCCTCAGCTCCCACTGCCCTGGTCCCTGCATCCTTACCCCATTCTCCCTTAGTCTTTCCCCTCTCAGTAAATGGCCCCCCCTAGTTTTTAAGCCCCAAACCCAGACCTCATCCTTGATTCTTTTTTTCTTACCTGTTGCACTCAATCCGTTAGTAAGTTCTGGCCACTATGATCCTAATGCAAGTTTCGAATCAGTTCACTTCCCTCTGCCCCCGGCCAGGCTTACCATCATCCCCACTGGGCAGATGCTCGTGTTCTCCCCACCATGCCTCTGTCAGCTCCCTGGGATTCTAATGTGTGGCTGGCCAGGGCGCACCAGGGTGGATGAAGGTAAGCAGAGCTATACTGAGGCTGCTCTTGGACTTGCCCGTGAGTCATGAACCTCCTGGGACCTGGTTTAAAATGCAGCCTCCTAGGCCCTGAGCTTCTGTTCCATGCTGTCAAACAGCAAGTTTATCCCTGCAGTGAGAACTTCTCGGGCATATCCCTCAAACTTCTCATTTGCAGATGGACAAACTGAGACCCAGAAGACTTGCTCAAGGCCACTGACTGGTGGGCTAGCTTCCAAGACTCCTTGCTCAGGGGTTTCCTCAGGGCGGCAGAGCTGGGTGGGCCCTCAGGGTAGCTTGGGGACATCTTGAGTGACAGGAACTCCGTCAGCATCCTCACTGGTCTCTCACTTGTCCTGTGGCTATAAGTGGCTGGGTGGGGCAAGGGGCACCTGCAGCTGGGGCCAATCACCCAATTTGCCACATTCTCCCACCAGTACAGGCCCTGGGATGGGTAATGCAGACCAGATGGGCCCAGTATAACCAGGCTGGGGCCCTGGGGACTAAGATCGGTCTGTGTGGTAGGGGTTGGGTCTGGTCCAGGGATGAAGAGCCAGTTAGAAGGGCGGGGGAAGGATCCCAATGGAGGAACCGACTTGGGATGAGATCTGCCCTCCTCTCATTGGACCTGCCCCTTCTCTGTCTCCCTTATTCTCAGGGCAGAGATGGGTAATGCCGGCCTGGCCTCCCAGCACCTCTTCAGCCTGCAAAGAGGCTGATCTTTGGCCCTTGGGCTCCCCACCTTTCCCCTTGGCCGTGGGTTTGAGTTTCAGCTCGGCTCTACTCCAACTATGGGCCTCTAGTAGTTGAGGGCTACATTTCTCTGAAACTCACTTACCAATCTGTGCTATGGGAACAGTAAACCCTGTTCCTTTTTGTGGAGAGGGCATTTGAAAAGGGCTTTGAAGAAAAGGAGTTTTGACAGGCAGGAGCTGGGGGAGAAAGAAAGGTATTTAGAAAAGACACCAGCTGAGCATCTGTGGATGAGCAGTCTCAGTAGCCAAGGAGCTCTTCTCAAGCCTGCTATACTCCTGCATTATTTAAGTTAAAAAGACCTCAACTGCCGAACAGATCAACAACTTTGGTTCATGCATCCAATGGACTCTACTCACCCATAAAAAGGAACGAACTACTGATGCACGTAGCAACATGGATGAATCTCAGATGTATTTTGCTGAGTGGAAAAAGCCAGACTCAAAAGGCTACATCATGACTTTCTGGAAAAGTCAGAATCTGTGGTTGCCAGGGGCTAGGGTCTGGGGTCCAGGACTACCAAGGGACACAAAAACTTTTTGGGGTGTTGGCAATGTTTCCTATCATGATGGTAGCGGTGGTTACGTGACTGAATAAATTTGTCAAGACTCACAGAACTATATGTTAAGGGGTGACTTTCACTATAAGTGGAATAAATTATAATAAAAACAAACCCACCAACACAAGGTTCTATGAAACATCCCCCACATAAATATGTATCATAATAATAACTACGTTCCCTCTAGCTAATCCCTCGTTCTCTGAGTTTCATGCATGTATTCACTCAGGAATTATTTCTTGAGCACCTACTATGTGCTAGGCACTGTCCAAGGTTCTAGGAATCAGGAATGAACAAAATGGCCAAGTTATGATTCCAGTTCACTTCCACTAAATCCTTCAGTTCAATTCCAATAGTGATAAGTGCTATGAAGTAAAGATGGGGGTAATTAGTGGGGTCAAGGGCAAGTTTAGCCAGAGTGGCAAGGAAACCCTCACCAGAGGGGCCATCTGAGCTGAGAGGATGAGAAGGGGCCAGCCATGGGACAGTCAGGAGGAAGGGAACTCCAGACAGATGGAAAGGCAAGTGCAAAGGCCCTGAGGTGTGAATGTGCCTGCTGTATTTTAGTGTGACTCTGACCTTGCCCCTCCTGACCGTGTGGCCTTGGATAAGTCTCCTCACCACTTGGTGCCTCAGTTTTCCTACCCACTAACGGGCAAACAATCTGCTTCATAGATTTATTTTAAGAAATAAATGCGATAATTCTCTCAAAGCATGTAGGACAGTGTGTGGTACACAGTAAGTACTCAGTACATACTGGTTATCTTTCTTTTATCCTATATTCTCTCTGGGAGGCAGAGAATATTTTGAGTTACATTTTACAGAGGAACCAAATGATGCAGGTGGCTGCCCCAGGGCCCTACCGCTGGTCAGTGGCACTACTGGGATGTGACTCCTTGATCCCAGCTCAGCCTAACTCAGATTCCGCAGCAGGGTCCATTCCAGACATTTCAGAGCAGGCTCTGCGGTTAAGCAACCGCTCAGAGGCCAGAGGTGCAGGCTCAGGGGACAGACTTAGGGCCTGTCTTCTCACATTTCCTGCCCAAGGAGAGAAGAGGGAGAGGGTCTGTGTACATTTCAGCCCAGCCTAGGTCTGGGGCCTGGAAAGAAAGAACCAGAAACACACGGCCCTGCCCCAGTGGGATGGCCAGGCCAAGCTGCTCAAACAAATAAACCCATCCCTCTGGGGGCAGCCTTGTGAGGGGCCTCTGCGGCCGCTGTTCCCAGGCCATTCCCAGGCTGAGGGCATCTGTGCCAGCCATTTCTAGGCTCCCTTCTTGGAAAAACAACCTTATTCCTCCAAGAAGCAGATGCTGTCCTCCCCACCCCAGCCCCAGCCCCAAACAAAAAGCAGCCAGCCATGGGTTTAGGAAATCAAACCCCAAGAGATTTAATTCGGCAATGTTTCTTGTTTGGATAACCCAAGGCTGAAAATGCCAGGAATTTACAGGCAGCCTGGGGCGGCTGGGGCAGCTGGGAGTCCCCAGCCAGTGTGGGAGGGTCTCAGGGTTGGCCAGTACCCCAACTCTGTGTTCCCGCGGGATGTGCTTTGGACCCACGTCCAGCCAGGCAAGGCCTCACGACTGCGAGGCTGAGGGTCTGAGTTATTCTGAGGTTTGATGTCAGGGACCTGGAGCAAACAGCAGAGGCTGAGGACAGTGCCGGTCGGGAGGCTCATGCCCAGCCCGTGAGCCCTCCCCTTGCCCTTAGCTTCAGGTACAGAAGGGGAAGAGAAAGAGGCCCCAGCCAAGCAACCTGGCTGAGGGCTGGGCACTGGCCACTGGGTCGGTGTGTCCTCCAGTGTGAGCAGACCGTGTGGACACCCGGGAAGGTAGAGACAGGGGGTGGAAAAGGCAGCCTAGTGGTTAGAGGAGAACCTGAGAGAGTGACAGGGAGAGATGCAGGGAGACACCAGCCAGGCAGAAGAGAGAATCAGAGAGTGACAGAGACACATACGTCATTAGAAACCACAGGGCTACCACGAGAGCCCAGGAGAGAGACCCACAAGAGGCAGAGAGACACAGAGGTAGAAAGAGAGAGAGGCAGAGACAGACAGGGAGACAGGGAGGCTCAGCTGGTCACTCTTTGCCTTTTTCCCTCCTTCATTTTGCTTTACCATCTGACATAGGTCTTTATTGTTCATCTCTTTATGCCCCTTTCTCCCACTGCTGCAGAAGGGGACCTACTGTGCTGTTTACTGTTGTATCCCCAGCACCTAGAAAGGGCCTGGCCCAAGGTAGCACTCAGCCTATCTCTAGCAGATGAATGAATGAATGGCAGTTAGGGAGTCAGGTTCCCAGTTCTGACCCTGCCCAGTCTTGCAGTGTGGCCTGAGGCCCATTCCGGCCCCTCCCTGGGCCTCATTATCTCAATCTGCACAATTCAGAGAAGGAGGTCCCATCCGCCTGGCCCTCTGTGCCCAGGGAAGGCCTCAGGGATAGATGGTCCAGCTGCCAGTCACTGCCCCCCACCCCCCCCACTCCGCTGCAGGCCCAGCCCTTACCTTCTGCAGCCACTGCGTGTTGTTCTCTAGCACCTTCTCCAGCTGTCGCACCCGCTGGGTCGGCCAGTCTCCTAGGTTCAGTGCAGTGGCTGGTGAGTCCCTCTGGAGGCTGTTGGAGCCCCTGAAGGCCTCAGGCTCCGGTGGGCAGGGCTCAGGCTCGGGCAGCACGAAGGTGTAGCTGCATTGGCCGTGCTGGACTCGGTGTGCCCGGCGGCGTCCGCCTGCCTCCTGCCCCCTCTGCTGGGCCCCAGTCACAGTGGCCATAGTGAGGAGGAGGCCGCCCAGCAGCATGGCTGGCCGGGAGAGCATCCAGGAGATGTGGCGATGTCGAGGGGTGTCGGGTCAGAGCCCCCAATAGCGTTGCCTGCCCACCGCCCTGCGCTGTGCCCAGGATGTACCCACAGTGGCCAATAGTGGACAGGCCAGTGCTGCTGCTACAGCAGCAAACCCCTGTTTGGCCAAGCTCCCTGCCAGGCGGCTATTTATACTTGTTCCAAATACCACGGCTGCTCAGACTCCTCCCACTTCCTCCTGCTCACCCCCAGACACCTTCTCACCTCTATTCTTCCCTTCCTTTCTTCTCACTTGCCCACACCCTGCCCTGTCCTACACAGGCCTTGCTCTGCTCTTGGCCAAGGCCTCGGAGCCCTTTTATTATCCAGTGGAGGCCTGGCCTCCCATGAGAGGGGAGGAAAGAAAACAATACACACAGCCACGCGCACGCGCCCACACACTCAGACTCAAACACAGGCAAACACGAAACCTCCAATGCTGCCCGCTTCTGAACACCAAATGCAACTGAACTCGCTCTTCCTGTCTCTGTCTCTGTCTCTCTCCAACCTCCCCGCAACAAGGCTGGGATCTCAAATTTCAGCCCCCCACCCCCCACCGCCTTCCCCATCTCTTCCCCCTCCACCTTCCCTCTCTGGTTCCATGTTAGCACTTGGAACACAAGTGAAGCGCCCCCCAGAGAGAGCAAAGGGAAAAGGGCAGAGAGGTGAGGCTGGGGAGGAAGCCGCCAGTCCAGTCTATTTCAGGAAACAGAAAACCCTGCAAGGCCAGGGAAATAGGCGCTGCAGCCCTCTCCCTTGGGGCCTGTGGGGAGGGGGGAGGTTGTGCCCTGGGGTGGCCCTGGCTCAGGTCCTCTGACAGTAATGAGAGGTTGTTCTGCCCTGGAGCAGATTGTTCTGGGGCCACCTTTGGCTGGAGTGGGGAGACAGATGTCAGGGAGAAGAGCTTAGGGTGCAGCCCTGGAGTCAGAGGTTGCTGGCTCTAAATCCTCAGCTGGTGGGTAACCGGGAGGAAGTGGGTGCGGCCCAGCCTGGTGGCTGAGCCTAGCCTCCTGCCATTCCAGGCCAAGCACCTCCAGGCTGCTGCTTTCCTGGAGGAATTGATCTTCCTGCTCCTGGGAGCAAAGGCAGGGGAAACGGATCATTCCTGGAGAGTCACTTGGTGATTGGGAGCTTCTCAAGTACTTGGATCCAAAGAAGAGGATTAAGTCACTAGTCTGAGTCTCCCACTGCTGGCCAATCTCCAGAACCACTTCCCCAGGCCCCTCCTTTTCAGGTCCCTGCATTTTTAACACCCAGGGTGATAAATAAGGGTTGCAAGCTGGGCAGCTTAAAGCGCACCCAAAGTCTCTTGTACTGTGCTGTTCACATCCCTGAGGACATGACCTGGGTATCTCTCGGAGCCACTGATGGCAACGTGGTGAGGTCCTGGCAGGAAACTCTGGGGCTGCTGACAACCCTGGGGATGATCTGTCAGTGTCCCCAAGAGGTTGAGGAGTGAATCTGTGGAGCAAGAATCATTGTGTCCCCATGAGACTTTCCACCCAGAAAACAGTCTGTCGACTCTTCCTCACAGCCACTTTTTATCACCCCAAACCCAGAGTCACAACACAATTGATAGATCATAAGGGACCCAAGTCTGAGTTTTGAAGTCACCCCTGTGACACAGGCCTCGCGATTAAGTGCCCTGGCATTGAATCTTGATTCCACTTTGGTAGGTGAGACTCAGTTTTCTCATCTATAAAGTGGAGAGAACAGTCCCTCATTAGCAAGGTGTAGGGGAGGGTCTTCTCATTACCAGAGCTGTGTAACAAGGTACTCCAACAGTTAGTGGTTTAAGACAAAGACAACACCTATTTTACTCATAAATGTGCAATTTTGGCCAGGTTCACTGGTCACGGCTTGACTCAACTCCATTTGACGTCAACTGGAGTAGCTTGCAGGCTAGAGCCCAGAACCATCCAAAAGTTCATCCATTCACATACCTGACACCTCAGCTGGGCTGTCATCCAGACCGACGACATGCAGCCTCTTCATGTGGCCGTGGCTTCCTCAAGGCATGGTGGCTGCATTCCAAGGGCAAGCATCTCCAGAAAGGCCAGCAGAAGGCAAGTGACCTTTTATGACCTAGCCTCAGGAATCACACAGGATCAACTATTCTGCATTCTATTTATAGAGGCAGTCATAAAGTCCCACCCAAGTTCAAGGGGAGGAAGAATACACTACCTCTTGATGGGGAGTGGCAAGGTTTCAGAAGATCATGTGGGATGGGAGATATTGTTAGAAAAATGCAACCACTATAGGCGGGGAGGATGAGAAAATGCCATTTAAATATTTAGTATGTAAGTGCTCAATAGTTGGTAGCTGTTATTATTATCCGTATTATATATAGAAAGATCTAGCATCTCTTTGCATAAAAATGTCCTAGAGGCCCTCCAATAGTGAAAGGTGCAGCAGAAAGTGGGGTTGTTTCCACTGGGGTTGCCAGAGAAATTGTCCCAGAGACACTCTGGGACTTGTCCAAAGTCACCCAGCATATAAGCACACAGTGCGCCTCAGCCAGACAAGGCCTTGGACACAGCTGCTTTTGCTGTTAATAACACTCGTTGCTCTATCCTCGGGATATCTACTCTGGCCTCAGTTTCCCCTGTGAACAATGGGACTATCCCAGCTGTGCCTCTCCAGAGGCTGAGGGGACCAAGGTAGAGAACATGCACCCTCTGCTGTGCTGCTCAGCCTGGGCCACCAGCCACATCCGTCCTTCTTCAGGCCTGAGGAGCTCAGCTGCCTCTGAGCCTGCATCTGGCAATCATTCCACGACGTGAAGAATGAACCTGCCAGGTTGAGGGACAGATCTATTTTGGAACCTGGGACTCCCACGGAGGCGCAGAGGAGCCTGTGACCCAGAGAATCAATAGGCCCCTCTGTATTTTGTTTGTTTTTATTAAACAAGCACAGCGTGTCCCTCATAGAAAAGTCAGAAAAAAACATATTAGCAAGAGGGAAAAAATAAATATTGCCTGTGTTCTCACCAGCCGGAGGGAAAATCCACATCTAATATTTTGGAGTATTTTCCTCCCAGTCACTTCCCTCTCTATATAGAAGCATATATTTTTGGATGGGTTTTCTAGCCAAAAAAAAAAAAGCCCCAAAAAACCAAAAACAAACAAACCCCCAAACAAAAAAAACAAACAAAAAAACCCAAAAGAACATTCTCTAAATTTTTTAAAAATTTTACTTATTTTGGATTTACCTTTTGAAAACAGAAATCAGAAAACTGCACAGAATAACATAATATAACCTCATATACCCATCACTCCAAAATGAGCACATGATGACATTTTGCAATTTTGCATGTTAACATTTTGCAAATTTGTCCCGGAGTTTTAAAGAAATGGAATATTATTAAGGTAAAGTTGGTGTCCCTCACATCCTCTTTCCGAGTCTCATTTTCTCTCCCTCCTTGCCCATAGGCCTATGTGTGTGTGTGTGTGTGTGTGTGTGTGTATTCCCATAAATAATACATATTATTTTTGTGTTTTAGAAACTTAACTATATGCTACTAAGCTGTAAGCAACGTCCTGCTTGCACAGCGTGCTTTCCAGACCTATCCAAATTCCACACGTAGATCTTGCGATGAGCATCATTTTCTTGTCCCTGTTGTGCCTCATATACCACTCTTTATTTATCCAGTCCCCGGCGGATGGCAGACATTTGTGTCGATTCATTTCTATCACTCCTAACAAGGCTGCTGTGGCTGTCTCATGCACGTGCCCTTGTGTTCATGATCAGAGGTTTCTCTAGGGTGCTGAGAAAAGGAGCGTTCCTCCCGGGACGTGGAGGGATGCAGTGCCAGCCTGAGGAGACCACCAAGCTGTGCTTCCAAGCGGCCAGTTACCTTCCACCAGCAGGGCCCAAGCGGTTCCATCGCTCCACTTTCCTGCCGTCCATCCCTTAATATTGTCAGGCTTTACTTTTGGGACAATTTGGTGGCTCTGAAACGGTGCACGTATTATATAGCCTGGTTTGCCTACTTAACATTCTATTATGAACTACTTTCCTCTGTAGAAAATTATTCCCTAAGCACATGTTTCATGGTGGCATAAGCCACCGCTGGGATTTTCTTAACTGACTTGCTGTCGTTGGACACTGGGCTTTGTTTTTGTGGTAAATTGCAAAACTGACCAGGAGAGAAGACAGGGGCTTCAGCCCAAATTTGCCTCTACTCCTCCACCTGACTTCTCTCTCTCTCCCTCTCTCTTTCTTGGCGCACGTGGAGGCTGGATCACTTGGAAGGAAGAGGCCCATGCTTGAGTCCACAGGCCCTCGGAATGACATGGCACATTCCTGGATCCTGAAGAGGCTGCAGCAGAACAGAGGAAAGGGACAGACAACCCTGAGTCAAGGCCCTCACCGATCCTTGCCCTGCCTCTAATTTGCTGTGTGACCTGGGGCTGGTCGCTGTCCATCTCTAGGCCTCCCTTTTCCTCCATTTGAGGAGCGGGCTGGCCTGGCTCCACTGTTTTCCAGCTGTCTGTCTTGGGGCAAGTTATTCAACCTCCCTGTGCCTCAGTTTCCTCATCTGCACAATGGGGATGACCCAGTCCCCGGGGTTACGGAAAAGATGAAAGTGTGCAGAGACCGGGGCTCAGTAACTGTGAAGAAGGACTGTTATTACTATTATTTTACCATTCGATTGCTATTGTTATTGCTGCCTTTAGCATTAATGAGATCCTTTCTTAGGTTCCTTCTGGCTTTCAGATGGGCCTGGTTGTTGCCTACACCTCCACCCCTCTGCCAGTGTTGAGAGGCAGTGTGCAGTGTTCACCTACCTCCTGATGCTCTGCCCTTGAGTTCCCTCCCATGAGATGGGCCCCACTTCTCCCTCCTGTTCCAGCCTTCGCGCTTCTTGCCCCCCTCCCTTCTGCAGGAGCCCAAGCTTTACTCCCCTGAAAAATTTCATTTCCACTAAGAGAAGTCAGGACCGGAAATCATCCCCGAGAGCTAAATGGCGGATCTGTTTTTGAGAGCCTGAAGGGAGCAGGAAGGAACGAGGGAGGAAGTGGAGGCTTACGCATTTGCTGCCTCTCAGAGGACAGGTCTTCATCACGTCCCAGGGGGCAGGGGTCCCCCACATTCTTTGTGCTTCTCTGCCCTCCCTGGCTCCGTGCCCATCCTCCTAGCTCTTCTCCTTCCATCCTGTCCCAGCCTCACTGGAGAGCAGCAACTTGGGCTGCTCGCTTTTTGCCCCCCTTGATTAAAATGCAGAAGGCGCCTCTGTCCAAAAAAACGTGGCTAGGCCCTAATTGCTCCCAGCCTTCTTGGCTGAGTGTCCATGGCTGCTGGCTGCCCTTGTCCAACACTGGATGGGACTCAGGGATAAGGGAGCAGAGGCCAGAGTGGATCACAAAGTGGACTTCAGACTCCTGGTGCAGTGCTCAGGCTGTGCGGGTAACGCTGGGAGTGGAGGGTGGGGTGGGCGGCCCAT